ATATTATAATTACGAAGATAATAAAGAAAAAGAAGACATAGAAGGAAAATGCAATCTGCTCTTCTTCCTGACATTATTTTTCTCCAGTTGACTTTGTCTCCAACTGTTTGCTTTCCTGTGATTCTTATCTGCTGAGGTCTTCCACAGCCAGTTTCAGTCAGAAGAAACCTTGTGGAAAACTTCAGAGGGGTGTGGGCCTCAGTTGCCATGGAAAACCAACTATGAGCTCTCTCCTTCTCTGAAGCATCTCTAGCCTGCCCTAGTCCTAACTGGCCACAAATAAGTACCTCATTATCATAAGCACATTGCATGATGGAACATATACCATGTATATTATAGATCTAGACATAACTGTAGATGTAAATATCTTCCTAGTAGATCACTAGTCCATGGTGGAAGACATACTTGATTGTTGCACATTGGGGTTTTCTACTGTTTCTAAGGCTAGGGATGCTTCTGACTTTCCTACAATGCAAGGCGGGACCAACTCAACAAAGTATTTGGCTCTGAGTGTCAATCACACTCATGCATGACTGGACCTCTTTCACTTTACCTCCTCACATAAGGTGCCTGGTACAGGAGAATCTTGATAAATTTGTTGCCTGTGCTTGCTCCCTCACATCATGTAGTCATGTATGTGTGCTTTAATAACTTCAGCTCTGTTTACAGAAGTAATAACACGTGCCTGTTATATTATACATTACAACGTGATTTGAAATTTAAAAACATAAAGGCACAACAATTTGCAGAAACCTGCTTTTTTTCTGCTAAACTGGTCTGTACATAGATGTATTCACTCAGCTAATATAATCACAAACTCAGTTATATCTTATTGTGTGGTGCTGTTTTTCTAAACTGCTTAATGTGCAGGATATAGTCAGACTCTCTTGGGATTTGAATGGTAGAAGAATAAATTTAAAGATAACTTTCCTCTGTGTTTTCTCTGTCTCCCAAGGGAGGGTGCTTTGGGATCATCATTCACTCATTTATTTTCTCATTCAATAGAATTACTGAGTGATTAGCATATGCCAGGCAATGCTTTAAATTCTGTGGTTATATCTGGGAACAAAGCAGACATGGTCTATACACATGTTTGTGCTGAATGTATAGTAAGACCTTTCTAAAATGCAATTTTCAGATGTTATAAATGCTAAGAAAAACATCAAAAAGGATTAAGAAATTGGAAGATGAGAGTGTCTAAATAGAGGGGCTCTTATTTCAGATAAAGTGCTAAGAGAATTTTCTTTCACCTGGGATTTGACACAGGTGGGAAAATAAGTACTGAATAATGTTTGAGGAGCTGTCTGGAGAGGAATCTGTCTAACCTAGCCGATAGACAATACAGTCACTGAGATGTGCTTGGTGTGTTTTAAAAGCCCTGAGGAGGGGTCCTGCAACAAGTGAGGAACAAAGTGGAAAGAGGAAGGAAGTCAAGGGCCAGTAAATTTGAGAATCAGGGAACTTCCTTTTATGAATGAGACAGGAAGCCATTAGGACTGTGAGAAGTGGGGTAGCCTGGTCTAATATGAGTTTTCATTGGGTCATTCTCACTGCCTGAAAGAGCACCTTAGAGATGATGACAATAATGAGGGTGATGTTATCTGAGATGGGTGATGAGATGGCAGAGATGGTGATAAGAGGTCAACTTTGTCACAAATATAAAAGCATAGCCAGGTGGATCAATTCATCGACTGGTTGTAGGGAAAGGAAAAAAAGGAAGTACCAAGGACAACCCTGGGATTTCAACCTAAGCATGGATGTAGTTGGAAAGATGCAGTTGTTGCTTCTTAAGATGGAAACATCTGCTGAGCAGCAAGGTTAGGAAGGGACCCCAACAGCTCAATTTCAAACATCTTCAAGTTAAGATGTTAGTTAAGTATCCTAGTGGAGATGATGAAAGCTGTTGAGTGCAACATGTGTATCTGAATGGAGTCTCTCTTACTAAGGAGTCGGTTCAGGATGGAAAATAGTGTTTTGGAGTGTTCTACATATAGATGGTTTTAAAATCTACATATAGATAGATTTCTAACTCTTAAAAATACCAATGGCGCCTCTAAAGACCATAAAGCTCCAAGGACTTCAACTCTGAGACATTTAAAATGTGAAGACAAAAAGCCAATGTATAAAATAACCACAAAAACTATGGGTGTGGAAGGAGGAGATCCAACATAGAGTGGTAACCCAGAGGACTCAACTGTAGTTAACGAGTATAAACTTCAATGAAACTTATTTCAAAACAGTTGGGAAATATGTTCCCAGCCATGTATGGCTGCTAACATTTCAGCATGGTAAGGTAGAAAATTTGATTTAATCATTAAAATGTTTTCCCAGGAGATTGAGTGGGAGAAAGACTTTATAGAAGAAAGTGAGATTCTAAGAAGTTACCAGATATTCTATGATTCACAAGAAAAAAAATAAGAAGATGTGGTAGGTCAGTGACTTGAAAAACTAAGGAATTAAGAAATAGTTATTATCATGTCTTGGGACTTTTAATACAACAGTACAACTCAAATTGTATCATTAGAGATTATTCATGGACTCTGCTTGAGTAGGAAAAGATAGTAAAGGATGGTAAATTCATAGATCCCTGAAAAATAATAGGACAGTATAATAATAATGTATGAGTTATTCTTTTTGTATAATTTTATAAACTTTATTTTAAAAATATTTACAAATAAATTAAAATATCACACACCAAAATTAACAAGACCCAAATTCTATATAACTTAATGAACTAACATACAGTTATAATTGATATATGTATATGAAGTATTTTATTTATATATTATTCCAGTGTCTTCCAAGTCACTTTGAAATTCTCTTTTAAGTTTATATTCTCAAATATATCATAGCCAGAGAAAGCAGCTTTATCAAGATCTCAGAACCAGGCTAGAAAAGTCTTTAAAAAATCAAGCTATCATTAGTTTACTTCCTAGAATATCTTTTATTTTTAATATCTACTTACCTTTGGAAACATGTTTATAATAGTACATGTATAGCAGATTATGGTTTCTTAAATAACTACTATCAACTCTCCTATGAAATTAATATTTTGATTTTCAAACAGAACTCACAAATAGTGGCATCACATATATATGAGGTATTGTGGGTTGGGTATCTTGTTTCCAAAGTAATTCACTTCAAGATGTGTAACTTGACTGCTATTGATAGTGTTGTAACGGATGGGGCATTTCTTACCTACACAATAGACTTCTATCCTTTCATTCTCAGGCTAAAGCTTGAAAGCCTTTTTCTCTCGGTCCTTTTCTTCCTCCTGGTCCTTCCCTGTTTTCATCCAGAGCCCTATTCTGTACACATCTATATAAATAATCTCTAGTAAAGGAAGCCACATGGCTTCCAGATTCCTGCCTTGCTCTTGCTTCTTTTTTTAAGCAACTAGATTCAACGAGTTACTGACATTGTCATGACTCTCTTCTACTTTCCATCACCTCCCATGTTGTGTCCTCCTCTGCTTCTAGCCAAACTGGATTTCTTTCCATCAGGATCTTGACCTTGATTCCAATGTCTATTGGAGTAAGCAAATCTCAGATCAACAAATCTACACTGTCCTGATAAGTGGAAGCACAGTAAATATAGTATATAATGATGTATGCATATGAATATATATGTATATGTCACCTCTCCTTATTCTATCTTAATTTATACATTCATTTTTACTCTGATCATTAAAGTGTTATATTTCTTTAAAAGATTTATGTAAATTAAAAAATAAATTAGCACCTATAAGAGTTCTGAGGCTGTTTCAATAAAATACTGAATGAATGAAAGAATGAATGAATGGGTTCAAATAGTAACTTTATTCAGCTTCTTTATTGGGTAAAATAAAAGATAAGACAATAATGAAATGAGTATTTATAGACAACCACCATTTGCAAAATCATAGCTCACTTTCCTTATAAATATCAGCTGGGCAAATCCCCATATTTTGATTCCCACAGAACTGTCCCTCCCAATTTTATGAGTTATTAAATAGTTATTTATGCCAATGAAGGCATTGTCTTTACCATTTCTTTTTAAAGGTTGAATTAGATTGAAGTAATTTCTTGTGTTTGTTGAGATGCAAGAGAGAAAAATCTAACGACTCTCCACTCCCCACCGGCTCCCATCCTCTTCATGTCTCTACAGTTCATCCTGCAATCACTCCTATAGCCTCATGGGCATCTCTGACATTCTATAGAGAAAAGGGAAAATAAATTTGAGGTACAGTCGGTCTTTGACTCCTCTTTGGTACTAGACATAGTAAGAAACTTGAGTGAAGGAAATTTTAAGTGTTTTTCCATAGGAATAATCTCCCTGTATTTTGTGTTTTCTATAACACTCAATCATGTGTATTTGACATGAAAGAGACAAGAAAGGCATTTCCTCTTAGCACTGGAAAAAAACAAAATTAAGAATTATGTTGTTGCCTCAATCCTTATGAACTTGCCATGATGTCTATAAAGCCCCACCTAAGTCTTAAACAAAAGAAAGGAAGGAAGAAAATAAGAAAGAGAGAGAGAAAGAAAAAGAAAGAAAGAAAAGAAAAGAAAGCAGTGAGACAGAAGAGCCATGGGAATCAGCAGATCCACACACCTGCTGCTCATATGCTTCCCTCCCCCTTTTTAGGATTGCAAAGATGGAAGGAAAAATGATGCAAAGTCAGTAAAGTTTTTCATATGCAAAATTAGACTTTTGCATCAGTTGAAACTGAGCCTTCCCAAATTTTAAAAGGTGTACACCTGCAAATGCTTCTGTTCATCGTGTCTGCCAAGAATTAGCAATCTTTAGTGGTGTTTGTCTGACCTTTCTATCCTGCTTGAAACAACCACTACTTTCATGCTGGTCACAACCACCTGTTGTCACCATGTGTTATGTTGGTTCCCATATATGTAATACCATTCTGCCATCCTTTCTCCATCCCTCATTTCACTCAAGCATGTAGCGTGCTATTTCTCTGCTGCTGTATACATTCTGTATACATTTCTGTTCTTCCTTGCAAGACTGTGAATGCTTCGGCCACTCCAATCGGTGCAGTTATATCGATCTGCTAAACACAGTCATTTGCGTGAGCTGTAAACACAACACTAGAGGGCAGCACTGTGAGTTATGCAGGCTGGGCTACTTCAGAAATGCTTCTGCACAGCTGGACGATGAGAATGTGTGCATAGGTCAGTTCCATTATGATTTCAGCTTTTGTTCTGTGCCTTTGGAGCTCTATGGGGATCTGGTTAGGGTGGAGAAGCTGGTGATCTGCAAAAGAGCTGAGCCAGAATGAATATCATCAATGGAGCAAATATCCTTGAAGTAAACTGAAAATTCATTTGCATTTGGATAAAGTCATATTTGGTGGGGGGAGGGGTTAGAATTTGAATCCTAATATTGTTACATTAAAGATGATGTCATGAGAAATCATATTTAGGAGATGAAGAATAGTCTGATTTTCTTTTTCCATTCTTTACTTTTTTCTTTCTTCCTTTTTTCTTTTTATTTTTTGCATGAAATCTTAAAATCTGATAAATTTTGACCTGATTTAATTGCCTCAAATTGTACATTCAACCTTTAAAATGATAAGTAACTATTTTAGATATGAAACTTTGGGATAAAGACCCACGCATAATTGATGATCTACAAGTATTGATAATAAAAATGTTGCCATTAAGAACTGAAAGCTACTAGCAAGTTCTAATGCAGAAGTTTGCCTACCTTTTCCATCTACAGTAATGAAATTCCATTTACTAGATTTTTCTATTGCTCCCCAAAGGAAGAGTAATTTCTCAAAACTTCTTCAGGTTATAAATTGTTAGATTATAAAATAGATTAGCCCTAGAAAATAGGGTCCTGGGGTGGGAGATCCCTCTTCCATGACTAATTCTTCTCACCTGGAAAGGACCAGGTGTTGCTTCCTTTCAGAAAAACTTCTACAGAGGGACTTGACTCTGAGGAAAGGAGTCTGGAGGCAGGCATGATGGGCACACTTGTAATCCATACAAGTGGCAAGTGAATGCAAAAATAAAAATAAAAAATAAAAAATCAGGATGTTTAAGGCAGGCCTTGGCTACATAGTGAATGGAGACCAGCCTATCTCAAAACAGTGGAGTGAAGAAGTCTGATAGAAAAACAGTAAATGGAATTTCATGCTATAATTTCCTCTAAAAAATGCAAAATACTTGAAGTGTGATGTCTGTTACCACACCAGAAAGTATACAGGCCACTATTCTTAAAGACCAAGTTTTCCCCAGACTAAGTTCAGTAGAGTTTGTAAGTTGGAAAATTAGAGCATACAAGATGGAAATCGACAAGTGATCTTTTTATCAAAAAGGAAAAAAGAAGCAGTTGTTCAACTCAACTGTGTGTCTAGGATCCCTGTTTTCTGCCTGGGGTGTGACAGTCACAGAAATTCTTGCCAAGGATTAATTAGCTGTATGGTTCTTGTGAATCTATTTGGACCAGGTATGCACAGTACTCTTTATGTCTACAGTATTTTCCATTTTTCAAAGTGCTTCCTTATTTATTATCTGTGAATTAGTGGAGAAAGCACTGGAGTTAGATGCTGGAGAGCTGGGTTCAAGTCCCAACTTGCTATTCCCCAGCTGTGTGCCTTAGGTAAGTTCTTTAAACCTCCTGGCTTCTTTGTAAGCAAAAGGACAGGAAACACTTGGTAAAGTATGCACTGACCTGCAACTTTAAAAAAAAAAAACTAATTCTTATTAACAAAGCAGTAGGGTAAGTATTACAATAATGATTTTTTTCCTCTTTCATACTTGAAAAAGAAATAAGATAGATTGACCCAGCTTGCACACTCTTTGCAAAGAGCAACCCGACTCCATAGATTGTACACTCCCTCCTAACCACTCTGTCGCAGCCGGCAAAACTGGAGATGCCTAGATTTTACCTCTAGTGTGCTTCTTGAAGCATGACAGCAGCCGTTCCACTGCTAACTATGAACAGAAGTCTAAGGCCTTCCTTACGATTGGATTACAAGGAGGACATTAATAAAAACCAAAAGATGCACAGGCTGCCTATATTTTGAAGACAGAATATATTATGCTGAATTCCACTTGTGAGAATATATAAATATCATGCTATAAATATAGAGAAAGAACGGAAAAGGTAAAGTTAATAGTAACACTAGAATAAACCATAAACCATTTTTTTAAAAATATAAAATACATGAAATTAAAGTGTTTCACATTTAAATACTTTAAATAAAGCAAAGTGAAAAGACCATACATGGAAAGATTGAATATTTAATTTGTGAGGCCCTACTATAGCAATTGAGTACTAATTTTAATGCTATTAGTAAAGAAGAAATAACTAATGAAATAGAATGGATATTTGCTTAACACATTCTTACTCATTGGGTACTAATCTCAGACACTTTGACCTCCATCTACATCATCTTTAAATTAAAAAAAAAAAAAAACTTTTCCAAAAGATGCCTTGCAAATTCTTTAACAATTGGCAATGAAATTCACTATTCCAGCTTTGAGGGAATAGCTCACATCTCTGATCCACCTAGGGTCTGTGAAGATGTTTTAAAGTCACTGGAAACTACAGCAAATATGCAGTGCAGCTGGCTAGTTCATGCCGCCACAGTGATCGCTGCATTGTGGCTACTATTGAATTTGCCCAATTTTTACACAAATTCCAAACACAGACATGTCTTCAGGGATACGTGGCATTTCCCCATGGTGATGCAACAATTACCTGAAAATGGCATCTTTGCTTGCTTCTACTTCCTACAAACCTGAGCATTAAATGGGAAGCTAGAGGACGCATGGTTTCTGACCTTGAGTAATCACTGGTAATAATTTCCCTAACAAGTTTTGCATCAGAAAGAAACACGAGGCTCAGCAGTTGCCACAAAACATGTCTCAAAGTTATGATGCATTATTTTTAATGTTCCTTCAAACACAGGATCAGAGGTACCTTACACAGAACAAAGGAAATTCAAGATGATTTTAATGCCCATAAATAAATTGTAGTATAATCTTTTAATTTAGCTGTGCAAAGTATTTCATGCTGTTTTGCAATCTGACAGCCCTGCATTTTATTTATTATTTTATGTAATAAAATATAATCTCCATGGCCATCCTCATTACTCCATCTACCATTGAATAGAGCTTCATAAGTCTGAAAAACTGAATTATTTGTGTGCAAGGTGGAGGAGGGAGAAGCTTACATATTTCTCCTTGCCATTTATTTTCATGACTAAGATTGCATTTGCCATCTTTCTTATAACAAACATGGGACATACTATGGGTTAGGTGCTGGGAGTGTATTTTTAAATTTTGTTTAAAACCTATCTCATTGATCAATGTGAACTAACTGAAACACCATGTGAATTCATGCTGCCCAAATGTAACTCTACTAACTGACTTACAAAATATCGATACCTCATCGTCAATGTATACACTTTATGAAGTGAGAAACATTCCAGTATGACCTAGGCACAAGCTTAGTGACTACAAATGTACAAACAAACATTAAGAAGCCACAAAAAGATTTTAAACTACTCCTAGACACACATTAGAATAGAAGATGCCACTTTAAAGCCTGGTTATTAAATACCAACCAAGCCAAGAAAAGAAGAAATGTTTTGGAATTTTGTTTTAGTTTTATACACACACACACACACACACACCATTAATTTTTGTAAATGTTTGTTTCATGAGAATGTAGAGCTCAAAAACCTGACTTAACACAAAATAAATCATAATTGTAAGGTACTTACTCCACAATATTTGAAGAAATTTTCATTTGTCTCAATGACAAAGTTTGAGGTCTCTTTATAATGATAACCCAGAATCCTCATTGCCAATAATATAATTCAGTCGATTGTTTGGTTATATGATTTTATTTGAATTTTTAGCAAGAGAACCTCACAATGGTTCTATTTTAAAACAAAGAAAATTGAGAAACAGAAAGTGATAGTAACCCGGCCAAGATCTCACAGCATGGGAACAGGAAAAGAACAGCAGCTCTGAAATCCCTTGCCCCAAACCACCTGTGTGCCTCCAGCTGGGGGAAAACAGGTCTCCCAGCTCCAGCTTAAGCTTTGCACACCAGTAAAGCTTCAGAGACGAAAACATCCTGTCTAAGAGTGTGTGAGGACTCCAGGAAACATTCTATTGGCTTCTCACTATGCAAAGGTTACCTTGACCTGCCAACAAAGTTGCAATGACAAATATACATCTCAAAGTTTATCTTTGTGGAGATTTATTTGGGAGTGTGAAATTTATTTTTTCTTTCATGGTTGTTCATCTACCGTACATAAAAGCTATGTGATCATGCCCAGCAAATACCAAGTTTAAGGACTCATCTCAAAGCAGGATATGCATAAATAAGTTAAGGCACCATCCCAAATCGTAAAGCAAAACTACCTTTAAATGAGTAAAGTGCATCCATATTGCACTTTAAGATGCTCAGCCATTCTCAGATATTGAGTGTAGCAGATAAACCCATTTGAATAATTTAAAAGAGATTTTACACTGATGGAATATTGATTTATCCTTGATATACACGCTTCTCATGGCATTCATTAAACCATCTAAAAAATGCCCTAACAAATGGAATCTCCATTATGATCTGTTACTGGTGAAAGCATGTTGTCTTATTTCCTTGGAAGAGTTCAGATGTTTTCCTCCCATATCATAAAAACGAGGCCATGGAAGGCTGAGCAAGTAAATAAATGGCCCTGAAATAGGCATATTTGCCAAAGCTTTTCATTAATGGACATCTTCCGCTAAGTAAGTGAATGCATCTAAGTAAGTGAAGCTCCTGTGTTGATAACCTCTAAGCCATGCGAAGTGTCTCCAGCCTGTGTGTTGTCTTGTTTCTACAGAGTGTTATTGTAACCCTTTGGGCTCAATCCATGATCGTTGTAATGGCTCAGGATTTTGTGAGTGTAAAACTGGAACGACAGGGCCTAAGTGTGATGAGTGTCTGCCGGGAAATTCCTGGCACTACGGCTGTCAACGTAAGTAACTGTGGGAGCTGCCCTCTGCCTGCTGCAGCATGGCTGATTCTGCTTGTCTAGGCTGGTGTGTGCAGCATCTCAGAGCAGAAAAAGACCCAACCAGCTGACAAGCTCCAAAGGCTACTTAGTGTCCCAGCCCGCGTGCAGGAGAGTGATCTGTCAGCTGTCCAGCTGGCTTCCCTGAAGCTTGCCTTCATCTCCTCTGTTGACTAGTGCAACTTACATTGAAATATTGTATGGCAATGCATATACCTGGTCAGACCATAAATTAAGTAGCACAATAAGGAACCCAGCTTGGAAATCCTCACCACAAAATGAAGTGCGATGTGTATGTGGTTAATATATTTCCCGAACTGAAGGCTACCCTGGAACTGTAGAGTTCATAAATCCAACAGTATCTACATAACTTATAACCACACTTGCTATCATGCCCATCACTGAATCTTAACCTGGATCCTGAAGGTAATAAATCGAAGGCATATTGAAGTGCCACAGTAAAAGAAATGACAGGAATCAATATTGATTTTAGGACGTTGGGGTTAGGTTCCACACAGTGAGCCTTAGACAGTTGCCATTTGGTTCAGGCTCACCCCTCTGGAGACTAGCATGTCTTCTAAGGAGCCCATCAACCTGGTGACATGTGGGTGTGTACATGGAATCGAAACGCTTAAATCAGAGCAGACACTTCCTGCCCTCATTGTAACTTTTTCTGCCTTATAATTCTGCATTCACTTCCCTTTCCATGTATATAAACTTACGAATATGAAATACTCACAAACCATGTCCTCTGAAGCAGAGATGACTGATAAAAAAAAAAAAAAAACAGAGCAAGCCACAGAGGTCATTTCAATTGTATTGCTGTCACATCAAAAAAATAAATGATAAAGAAATATGTAAAAGAGATTTCAGCAGCTGATTTTTATTTAACCTTAAATGTGAAGGATATTATCATTTGAACATATAATTAATATCAAAATTACTAAGGAGGTATACTCCAATTTTTATGGTCTTTGGAAGCAGCTGGGTATTCTTTAGTTACAAAACATCTCAATCCACACTACCTATCTGACAAGACTTAACAGCCCTGTGTCTATGCTTTTAGACAGCATAGCTATAATTCTGTATGCTTATTTCTCTTTTGAATGAAATGGCACCATGCAGGAACTATCTAGAGACAATTTCTATGAGAAATTGTTATGTTATTTCTACAATATAATCATTTTATTTTCTATATAAAATTAAAGATGATAAATACTATCACAATAATTACTAGCATCAGATATTACTAGAACTGTGTTCAGAAAATAATCTAATTTTCTATCTGCCACTCATGTAGCTTCTAGGTTTCTGGCATCTATATTTGTAAGTAACATAAAATGAGATGCTATGAGAAGAGGGACTGTGGCAATAAGCAGAGACATTCGTCATTGCGTAGGTCAGTGTTAGAATGGGTATCAAGAGCTGGGCAATGAGAGGAACACTGAAAGGCACTCAAATAGGCACAAGTCAAGCAACATACTTTCACAGCAGCTCAAGATAAGGCTAAGGATTAAAAGTCTCATCTCCTGTAATTTTCCAGAAAGCACTTATCCTTAAGAGTGGTTCCTAAATACCACATGAGGAAGCGGGACTCAGAAGACAGGCCATCAGTCCTAAAGCAGATGAACATGAGTCTCAGAGCTGACCATCAGTCAAAAGCAAGAAAGGAGAGACAGGTGCTAAGGTAGAAACAAGTACCAAGATTCAACATAAAAAGAGCAGAGTGACCGTAGTTGAGATAAACTCCTCAGAGAGGAAGTATAATGGAAAATATTTGTTTATGTTTGTTTGGGACAGGGCCTCACTATGTAGCCCGGACTGGTCTTGAACTCATCATGTTCCTGCCTCAGCATCCTGAATGCAGGTATTAGAAACATGTGCCACTATGCCTGGTGCCTAATGTAAAGTCTGATGAGCCAAAAAAAAAGAAGAAGAAGAATAGGTCCTGGAATGTAGTAAGGGTAAGACTTGGATGAGATACAAATTAATATTATCATAAAGCCATAGAACCCCTCATTCAGCTACTCTTCACTAGTGATTGGAGTACCGTAAGAAGTACTGTAAGAAGTCCTGTCACCTGAGAGTTCCTTCTGGAAACAGAAGGCTGGATTTGAGTCTCTGATATACAGTTAACAAAACTCTCTGTGCCTCAGCTCCCATCAACTCTAATGCTTTTATGTGCATCACTGGCTATGAAAATTTTTGAGTAGGTATTGAGTACCCCCTGAAGTATGGGCATTGGGTTAACGTAGAAGCTTCAAGGATGTAAATAGATAGCTGCCATGACATAGGTCATTGTGCTGAGTAACAATTATGATAGAATGAAATCAGAACTAAAGGAGATGTGCACATGGAAACTTATTACTGATGCCGAAAGGGGAATGAGGCCCCTGAAATAAGAGACCCATGAGTTAACTACTGAAGAACTAACTAACAGGTGCTTTCCATAGTAGCAAGTGAACAGAACTGCATGAGCCAATGTACTGTCTGAGAAATATCAAACAGTCTTCATGTAACTTGGCAAGTGTGTGTGTGTGTATGTGTGTGTGTGTGTGTGTGTGTGTGTGTGTGTGTATCCTCCTAGTATGCCTGTTTTCTCTCTCTCTCTCTCTCTCTCTCTCTCTCTCTCTCTCTCTCTCTCTCTCTCTCTCTCTCTCTTTCGTGTGTGTGTGTGTGTGTGTGTGTGTGTTGTCTGTGTATGACAGAAAATATTTTTAAAGAAAGAAAAGAAAAATAGAAAGTAGATTATGTGATTTCTTAAATTCTAGTCAAGAAGTTTCATGTCATCGTGGAAAAGAACTGAAAGTATCATATAGGAGAGGTAGGGGACTCAACACATGCTTTTAACGAAAGGCTTGTAAGGGTGAGATTTCTTTTTGGAAACATTGTTCTTGCACTTCGTTAAAGGAAGGATTGGAATATCTCAAGACTAGATTTGACATATATATTTAATATATTTCAAATTTACCTTTGAACACACAAGTTTTTGCTTTTTGGATTTTTTTTAACCTACGTTGAAAGCTTTTTACCAAACCCAGTATTTGAAACAGTATTACTAGAAGAGAAATTAACCTGACAACAAGAAAACAAAACCAAGAAGGAAATAGAGTAGGGAGGGCTGTCCATGAAACTTGTCTCAGTGACGAGCTGAGCATAAATGCTATAGATGCTAGAGTTTGAGAGGCTCAGGTACATGGCTGTAGTTCTCTTAACACCCAGAAATCTTGTAGAAGGTTCCACATGGAGCTGAAGTCCTAAAGGGATTGAACTTTAAAACAGAAATAACCATGAAAAAACAAGAAAGGAATGAAATCGTGACAATGTCACTTATATCCTGTGAATGAAGCAAAATGGACTCCTTGGGTGATTTCTTGAATCTTACAGACTGCTTTGAATTCCCAAGAAACCACTTAGATTTCTTAAGCCTGGATCTGCCTGTAACAGCAAGGTTATTAATCAGACCACACATGCAAGGCAATTGTGATAATTCAAGGGAAATGATGACTGTGGCCCTCATGATACACAACAGGAATTAAATCGTTATTGTTTAGTTCCCATCACATGTTGATCAAAAAGAACGAGATAAAACTTCATATTCAAAAGTACAGTGTACATCTTACAGCCAGACTGGCCACTACTAATGGACTAAAATGATGGTGTAGGGACTTCTAAAAGCACCTTAGTTAGATTTAGGGCTGATACAAGAGACTGAAGCAAAACTTATTCTAAAAGTCTATGTGTGTCATCTGTGAACTCCAGTTTCACCTATAAACTTTCTGTCAAAGAACTGTCCATCATTTCTGTGCTGCACAGTTTGTATGTATTCTCTGTTGGAAAAATATGAACAATTTGGAAATCACAATCCTGAATTGCCTTTAGAGAGTGAAACAAATAATCCAAAACCAAAATATAAACAGGAAGATTTCAGCCAAGTATGGTGGCACACACCTGTGATCCCAGCACTTGGGAAGTAGATGCAGGAGGAAAAAAAATTCAATGTCATCCAAGGTTCATAGAGAGTTCAAAGATATTCTTGGCTACATAAACTCATTACTCAAAAAAAAAAAAAAAAAAAAAACAGAGTGGAAGAGGAGAAAAGAAGACATTTGGGGTTTGGTAGGATAAAGATTAGTTTAGTGTGAAAGTTGTCCAAAAGAAAAGAAAAAGGAAGGAAGGAAGGAAGGAAGGAAGGAAGGAAGGAAGGAAGGAAGAAAGAAAGAAAGGAAGGAAAGGAGTTTGAGAATAAAGAAACAACTTTAAATAACAATGTTTTAAAACCAAAAGTCTCAGCTAAGTCACAGAAAATAAAGCTGAAAAGAGGCAGCAGAATAATGCTTCCTGTAACATATGAAGGGTTAATTCAGTCCCAGCACTAAAAAAACTGGGTATAAGTTTGCAATGTGTTTCAGCTAAGCAGAATGTAAATCTCCACATTAGAATGAGTAACTCTAGTAAGAGATATGTCACGTTCCAGGAGGACACATACAAGATTCGTAAAAACCGCACATTGTTTATGTATGTTACCAATACTCATTTTTACATAGCTTATGTTATGTGAAATCACATGCCATGTAAGAAAATAGGTTCTGGGAAGGTATGGGCAATTGAGGGAGACCCATTTTATAGGTCCTGATATAATAACCATCAGGACCATTAGCTTTCAATGCAAATACTGAATAAGAGGGTATCTTGGAGATGGAATCCAGCTTTTGCTTGGAAGAGGGATACACAAGGATAAGGCCTACTTCAAGGAAATACTTGGATTAGAAAGAAGAGGTATATCACAAAAATATGTAGACTTGGAGTATAAATTAGAAAGACCAGATATTGAGATGTTCTTTAATCAAAACAAAAGACTGTATGGAAAAGGCATTGTGAAAGTGAGAGTGTATTATCAATGAAAGATCATTTAAGCATTTAAGAGTATGTACTGTCTTATGTAAATTTAGAACTTTTAAATG